AAATCCAATTTTTTTTTTACTACCGGTTCTGTGGGCGTGGCTTGGTGGGCATGGCAGGGGAAGGATATTGCAAAATTTCCATTCCCACCCCATTCCAGGGGAAGGATACTGCAAAATCCCCATTCCCACCCCACTTTGGGGCCAGCCAGAGGTGGTATTTGCTGGTTCTCCGAACTGCTCAAAATTTCTTCTACCAGTTCTCCAGAACCTGTCAGAACCTGCTGGATTTCACCCCTGCACCAAAGGTATTTTATAGAGAAGGCGCTTTATTAATGACAGTACAATGGCAGCGTTCATCCTCAGCTCTGCAAGGGGGAGCTGTTGCAGCCATTTGCTCTCAGGAAAAGAGGCACCACCAGAGAGCTTGCTGGATATTTCCTCAAAACAATTCAGCTCTCCTGTTACAGATCTCGCTTAATAAAAGCAGGTTTTCTGCAACTTTATCTTAAAGCTAGAGCCTGATGAGGATTTGGGTTCCCTCTCAGAAGAAAAACAAACTGCCTTCCAATACAGCATGACGTGTGGAACCTGCCATGATGTTTCCCCTTTCTCCCGTGTCCGCCCCCTCCATCACGCAGCTTAGCTAGGACAACACTAGTCAAAATCTTGAAAGCTCTTCTTGCTGATATCTGGTCTTCAGGCAGTCGTTAAGTGCAGAGCCACAAAGACCTGAGGAAAAACGGGCTATCTTCCTTGGGCGGCTATGGTGGAAGATGGAATTGGAAAGGGAGTGAATTTGTCAACCTGGCTTATTCCCAGATGTACTGACTGAGATTAGTGGAAAAGGCTTTGCCAAGAGTTCTGAAACACCCAGCTAAGCATGTATTTCTCTGAACAAGCAAAACAGTTGGTCTCCACTTGGCAGGTAACAGATGGGGTGGGGGTGGGGGGTCCTTTAAGTTAATTAGCACTAGGATACCGCATAAGCCTCCTCAACCCCTGGTCTGCCAAACAGCCAATTAGTTTGCTGCTTATTAGGTGTCCTTGGCCGAAAACAAAGGACAAGAATCTTGGTGAACTTAGTAGAAGAGTGTGAGCATGCCCGGTTTCTGAAGGTACCATGTTTCCCTGAAAATAAGAACCTGTCTTATATTTTTTTTGAACCCTGAAATTATTATTTTGGGGAGCATGGAGCAAGACGAGGCTCCTTTTGCTGTCTTATCTGATTTCCAGCTCTGTCTCCCTAACCCTAACCAAAAGAAATGGTGGGGACTGGCTGCGTATGTGTTTAAATATTTTCAGGGAAGGGGTTATTTTCGGGGAGGGCTTATTTTTGGGGGAGATCTTGTTTTCAGGGAATACGGTAACTCTAAAAAAAATATGGAAAAACAGGTGGTTTGGGGGGTAACGACAAGCCAACAAAACTACTATAATGGGAAGATGGTCTTTCTAGAGAACAGACCTATGCTAGAATTTCTCCTTCAAAGAGTTCCAGCTGCCCACTTTGTAAGGAGCTATCACCACCACCACTGCTGCTCAGTTCCCCAAGGTAAAGTTTTAATTTACCTTTAAAAAGAGCCATGGTGGCGCAGTGGTTAAAAAATGCAGTATTGCAGACTAATTCTCCTGACTGCCAGGAGTTCGATCCTGATGGAGCTCAAGGTTGACTCAGGACTTCCATCCTTTTGAGGTCAGTCAAAGGAGGACCCAGATTGTTGGGGGCAATATGCTGACTCTGTAAACTGCTTAGAGAGGGCTGTAAAGCACTGTGAAGCAGTATATATGTCTTATTGCTATTGCTAATTGGAGAAAAGAATCCCAACAGGCCACATTAATCTAGGAGGTTTTGCAAGAATGCAAGTGGTCGAATCTCCTTCTAAGTCAGGAGTGTTAAACCCAAGGCAGATCCGGCCTGGAAATAGCAAAGGACCAGCCAGCAGTGCCTTTGGCAGCCAAAATAGGGGGGGGGGGACACGGCCCCCCGTACTCAGTTTTTGGCCTGGACAGCCTTTTGCAGCACCCTGCTGGCCAAAATGGGGCACAGGGGACCACACATGCCCCCGTGCCCCGTTTTGGCCAGCAAAGTGCTGCAGGAGGCATCCGTCCTGTCTCCCTCTGCCCCCTTGGCCGGCCTGTGGAGAAGAACTACAATGCTGATCCAGCCCTCGAAGGAATCCAGTTTGACACCCCTGCTCTAAGTGCTCACTAGGACGGATTGGAAAAGGCAAAATCAGCAGCACAGAGTTGTGACTAAGAATTCTTTTCAGTTTTGTAAGTGATCCTCAACTTGCAACCATTCATGTAACAACCATTTGAAATTGCAATGGCACTGAAAAAAAAATAACTTACAACTGGTTCTCACACCTACAACCATCACATCATCCCTGGGGTCATGCGATCAACATTCTGGTGCTTTGCAAATATCATGCGTTGGACCACTCAAGGGTCCTCAGGTCATGTGATCTCCATTTGTGACCTTCCCAGCTGGTTTCCAACAAGCAAAGTCAATGGGGGAAGCCAGACTCATTTAACAATTGTGGCCAAAAAGGTTGTAAAATTGGGCACAACTCACTTAACAACCGCCTTGCTTAGCAAGGGAAGTTCTTATCCAAATTGTGGTCATAAGTTGAAGACTATCTGTATTGATTTATATCAAGCTCTTGGAATGCCTCTCATATGGTCAGAATTCTTTGACTTTGGCATAACAGCACAGTGTGAGAACTGTGATTTCTTCAATAAACCATGGTTGAACAAACCATATCTTAATATAATTTAAGAAATCATTGATTGAAAACAGTTTCATGTCAATAGAACTGTAATTTTGGCTTCTTATACTGGGAATTAAACTGCAGCAGAGCTGATTTCTGTATTATATGTTACACTGGGTAGTTGCTCAGTATCTTGTTGGGGAACGTGTGCTTGTGTATCTCTGTAGGCATTCCTTTCTCATACACAGAGTTGTGTGTGATGCATTTGCTGAATTAAAGGCCGTGTTTGCAAATACAGAATTCTTGTAAATATACAGTGCAGTGGAACTAGTGCTTATGGATATGTATAGCGGAACCAGTGGTTGCAAATACATAAAGTACTTCTCTTCCGTTTCGAGGGTGCCCTTTCCTCCTCCGATTTTATCACGATGAGCTTCCTGGAATCAGTCAAGAATGATCTCTATCAGGCATCCGGCTGTTGGAAGGTGAATAGTGCTACTGACAGTGCTACATTTCAAGAAACCCTGAGTTCAGCAAAATTCAGGATTTTCCATACATCGTGTCCAAGCCTGGATGGAAACCTACGTTTTCAATCACAGGAGCAAGGCCATACCACAATCATGTCAACACAGAGGCAAGATGAACCCTGCTCTGTCCAAAGTTAAATTTAACTACTCCACTTCGGATCTAGATTGAAATCATAGGTTCTGCAGGCAGAAGTCAAGCCACCCATTTGGGAACTGTTTGGCTGCAAAAGAAGCCAGAGACTGCGGGGAAGCAAATGTGTGGACTCAGCAGCATGAAGGAATGCTGAAGAACCATTGCATCACTTGGGGCTCAGCAACAGCTGAATAACCTCAAAACTTTGGCAGCAGAACATCCAGAGAAACTCCTATCCTCTAAATCAGGGGTGGGGAACGATGGCCCTTTTATGACTTGTGGACTTCAACAGAAATGAGGAGGTGATAAGCCACCTGGGAGAGTCAAGGGAAATCATCAAAACCATAAAAAAGGGAAAGTTAGAATATTTCTGGATATGTGACGCGACATCCAGAAAAATATGGCATACTTCACTTAATTCTCCAGGGAAAGATTGGAGGCAAAAGAGGTCCAGGCAGAAGAACATCATGGCTTCAAAATCTAAGGGACTGGTTTGGTCAAAACTCGGCAACACTTGGTTGTTTTTACTTTTATACATATAAGAAGATATTTACTACTGATGGGGGCAGATATGATTGAAGATCCTGAATAAACTGTTGCACCAGCAAGCTATGTTACCCGATTATGGATGTTGGTTCTACCAATCCAGTGGAAAGACCTCAAAGAAGATACTATATGGATTATAAATTTAAAGTCATTGTCTTTTCTTTTTTTTTATTTAGATATAATGGAAAATATAGACATATATTTTTAAGTAGTGTGGGCAGTGATTCAAAGATATTAAGAAATGTTGTGTATGGTAATTTTGCATGATAGTGGGTGAATAAGCTAGTTAGTAGATTGATTAGTCTAAGAAAAGGGATTTTTAAGTGATATATTTAGGGGAGTGGAGGAAATGGATAGAGTGGAATAAATGTTAAACTAGATTTTATGGGGAAGGCCGCTTTGAAATGTTATACTAATATATATAGAAGATTAAATGTTAAAGTAGGACTTATTGTATAGTTTTAAAGTGGAGAAGTTATTCTATAATGTCATAGTATAATGTCTTTTTTTCCCCCCCTTTCTTTTCTCTTTTCTGAAATGTATGGATAAAGGGGGATGTTATAATATTAATAATATTTTTAGTAAGTAAAGGTCAATATCTAGAGGAGGGAGTAAGTAATCTGTTATGAATTAGGTTTTTTTTTTTGTTATGAAGAAGTCACAGGGGGGGATGGGTGGGGAGGGGGGGTTAGGGAGGGGGAGGGAGAGGGGAAAAAAAAGGGGGAAAAATTTGTATTTGAAAACTTTTTCAATAAAAAAAACGAAACTCAGCAACACTTTTTCGTGCTGTTGATAAAAATAAGACATGCTCGCCAATGTCTGATGATGGATATGGCCCAAGAAAAAGAAGGACTTCAATTCCCTGAATTCCTGAGCCAGCATGGTTTGTCCACAAATCATAAAGGGGCCATCGTTCCCCACCTCTGCTCTAAATACTGTTCTTCCACCCAATAAGACAACTGGCTTTGGCCTGGACCGGGCAGCATTAACACCTTGCACTTTGGTGGCCCAAGTCTTCTCAGTAGCTTGAAGAGCTTTCAAGTCAAGAGATCACCTTCTTGAGAAAGTCCAGCAGCAGATGGTTGAAGAGCTCCAAGGCCTTCATTGCTGCTTGTAAGACCAACAGAAAATGAGAGCAAGACTGTCTGAATGCAAAACATCTCACAAGTTTTATCCAAAAGTTTACAGTGGAAACATTGCTGCACATGTCTGTACAAAAATCCAACTCTAAATCAGTTTTTTATGCATACAGTTATTGGCACATGGTGCCGCTCTAAATTGCTGGCCTTGCTTTGTTTGTTTGTTGCTTCCCCCCCACTTAACATCTCTTTTGAGAAATATCTGTCAGGGTGCACAAGGGCCACTCTTTTCCCGTCTGTGCTGTGTCACCCCTCCTCCCCTCTTCCTGCAGCTACTTCCTGAGATAAAGTTAAAAACAAAAAACCAGAAAGCTGCCCTTTGGTTTCCCTCACACAAGGCATTTGCTGGTGAGAGGTTGGAACAGTCAGACTCGAAGCTGTTTTTAGAGGCACAGTTCTGTTCTGAGGGACTTTACTTAGGCCAGGAATATGGCTCACCGAACGTCACTAAACTACAATTCCCAAGAGCCTTTGCTGGCATAGCTGATAATAAAGGGGGCTGGGAGTTGTAGTGCAGTGGCATATGGAAGCTCACAAATCACCTTTTCTCTAAGGTTTTAGACAAACACCTCTTTTTGTTTTATCTAAGGTTCGCCCAGTCTTCCTCAACCTGGCACCATCCAGATACGCTGGATTACAATTCCCATTTTTCCAGCCAACATAACAACACTCTTTATGTCTATGTTTGTCCATGTCCCCCTCTCCCTTTCTCCTTCTATAGTTGTGAGCAATCCTGAGAAAGATGCTGTGCTGGGATTTGGGCAGGGTAGCCACAAATTTCATTCTGTGTAGGACCCGACCTTCATAACATCTAGCTACCCTGCAGAATCCAGATCCAGATCTTTAAGGTTTGGCTCTAATTTGACTTCCACTGTTTCTCTCCCTAACAGCGGTCCTGAGAATTGCTGTATGATTCAGCAGGAGCAAAGCGGGGACTCCTGACAGAGCCAATCTTTTACAGAATTGGAGAAAAGTCAGTAAAACTAGAATAAATTCAATTTGTTCTTCCTATTGGCCTTTCAAGTAGAATTAGGTACACTGAAAGAGAAAAATGTAACGCCAACAAGTCTTTTCTTATAACTTTTCCTTTCAAAGTTGCTCTAGAATAAGGAGAGAAAAAAATGTGTAATAACATCTGGACTTTTTTAAAGACTAGAGGGAAGTTGTGGGGAATTGCTGCAGCCTCTGGAGGTAATGAGACAGACAGGATGTGGCTCCTCAGAACAGATATAGAATATAGAGCAGCTCAGAAACCACATTTGTACAAACTGTGTGTGGGGGGAGGGGGTTGGAAGGGAGTTCCCCAAACATTTACAGCTCAATCGATTCATCGGCCTTCTCAGTGGGAGGGAAAGTATCTGCTGCTATAGACATGTAGTCTGACTGCAAGACATGGATTCACAAAGTGGATTAAGTGTTCCTTCTTCTCAGCATAGCTTAGAATTGACCTTGCCCCAAGTGTAGAGGAAAGATTGAACTTGATATGCATAAAACTCCTGGCAGTCTTGCCTTTCAACGCTTAAAAATACAAAATGCAGAAATATCTTGGGAGTTCTTGCTACTTCGTGGCCACCTATGCAGCTCACTCTATCCTATAACCGAACTTTCTAAATGTAATGTAAATTTCCAGCCAACGTGGCCAAATTCAAGGCTAAACAGGAATTCTGGGACTTGAAGTCCCAATGCATCTGGAGTGTGTCGGTAGCTCTTGCTTTCTACTTTTTGCCTCGGATCTGAGCTTTCTCAATCTATCTGACTTAACCTCAAATGCTACTTCATGCTCTAGGCTAAATTAACATGCTGGTTCTTCTAATGGTCCCCGTCATTAAGTCCTAACAAAAGTCACCCAATGTACAAACCCAAACCAAACATTCCAGTTTTTTTTTAAAAAACTATCCCTGCTAGTTAAACCAATAATAATGTCCTGTTTCCCATCCATTTCTAAAAGTCACCCTATGGCCCACAACGAGAAAGAACCACCCGATAACTTGAAGAGACTGCTTTATGCCAATTCCTGAAAAACATCCCAAACCAAAGCCACCCTCGTATGAATGAAGTATGCAAAATCACTTGTACTTCTTTGGCCTTACAATGTGCTACATTTTTTCTTTTGAGATCTTTTTCTTTCTCCCCACCACCCGTTTCTTCCTAGGACTTTGAAGACCCACTGTTATCCCACTCCCACCCAGGCTGATGAATTATTCTTCCAAAAATCCAAGGCGGATTGCAACCTGCATTTCCATAGAGCTGGTCTGTTGGCGTTCGGAAGCCCAGTCCTCTGTTAATCAAATAAATAAATAAATAAGAGACCACAGCAAGCAGAGGCCTCAGCTGGCCTCACAGCTGAACTGTGCTTTGCTTTTCTCAACAAGAGTGTCCTTTTACAACTGGCTCTCCTCTTCCTCCAAAGAACGGTTCAACCCAGGAATAAACTTGAGGAATCTCTTGCGGAAGCTTCCCTGTTTGCTTTTGGGGGGCCTTGACGTGACCACAGAGTTCTTTGGTTCTCTGGATTTGTCCCAGAAACAGGCATCCCCATTGGTGGTGGTGGTGGTAGTTGTACATTTGACGCTGATGCTGCGGGTTAATGTTGTCTTGGGGCGTGAAGACTGGGCTGCTGCGGGGACAATGTCCAGGGAGTCGGCAGAGTCAAAAAAGCAAGTCTGGTAAAGAGATTCCTCGGTCTCATCTGTGGCAGTGCTGACACAGCCCACGCTGCTGTATGTACTCCCAGCTCCTCTCAACAGCATCCCGTAGGGTGTAGAGCCATACAGGCAGGAGCGGACAGACTCCAACGTATCATAGATGCTGGGGTCTTTAACCACAATACCTACCAGAAGAGAGCAAACAATTACTGAAATGAATGCAAGAACCTGATTGTTCTCCCAAAGAGAAGAACTGATCCGCGCTTGGATCAACACTTTGTAATCTTGGTTTGGCTGAGTGCGGTGTTTCTCAACCTCAACAACTATAAGACCTTATGGACTTCAATTCCCAGAAACACTCGCCTAGTGGGTTACACCAACACAGCCAAGAGTGGTCTGTAAATATGTCTTTCTGTTGCCAGCCCCTTCAGCCAGATTTGGTTCCGCCTCCGTGACCTAGAAGACAATCACAAAAAATGCTGACACTCTTCTGACACTCACCATGGACCAAGCGCTGCTCCTGGACCATCAATGACCGATACTCTCCCCATTTTTCATAGAGCGTTTGCTGCAATGGAAAGAAACAGATATTACAAACAACAAGAAGGATCAGTCAAGTCTATATATCTAATTAAAATCTCCTTCAAGTGGTGCTTGACTGCTGGTGAGCCATCCTCCTTAAATCTCATCCTTCCTTTTTTATTTGCTCTGTGGGTATAGCAGATAGTTTCTCCTTCTTGGGTTTGTGGGTTCAAGGAATTCAATAGGCAAGGGGTGGAAATTTATGGGCTGCAAAAAGACTGAACAAAAGCCGGAGAAGAGTTGCAACCTATTGTCCAACTACCTGCTGGCTTTGAAATGACACTAATGGCCCACCTACTTCTCAAAGATAGGGAGGCTTCCTGCTAAACACATAAAAAAATTCTCAGAGCTATAGATTCTCAGACGGTAAATAAACAAGGCTGTGGCTCCATTTATCAGCAAACTCTGCAGGTAGTACTTCCCGGTTTAGTATATGAAATATCTAATAAGAAAAACATGAGGTAGGAGATGATGAAGAGCATCTTTCTGAACAATGGAAGAAATAAGAGAGTAGCTCAGGAATCAAAGCTGCACTGTGTTGATATTAATTTAAATTTCTTTCTTTAAAAAAACTTATTCAAGCCTTCAACATTAGATATAGATGATAGATAGATAGATACCAGTAGATAGATACCAATAGATAGATAGATTGATAGATGATATAGATCCGTGATGGCGAACCTATGGGACGTGTGCCAGAGGTGGCACACAGCGCCCTCTCTGATGGCATGCGAGCCGTCGCCCCACTTCAGCTCCTCTGTGCATGTGTGTGTGCCTACTGCCAGCCAGCTGGTCTTCGAGACTCTGCCACGCATGCTCATGCACGCGGGGCACATGCACGGGGCACATGCACGCGGGGCACATGCACGGGGTGGGGCACATGAGGGGTGTGCGCACATGCGCAAGGGGGCAAGGCATGTGCAGGGGGCATGTGTGCATGCTCGGGGTGCATGCAGGGGGCCATGTGTGCATGTGTGGGTGGGTGGGGTGCATGCGGGGGGCTGCACACATTGCATTTTGGGGGTTCGGGTGCTTTGGTCCGGAAAAGGTTAGCCATCACTGATATAGATAGATAGATAGATAGATAGATAGATAGAAGATAGACAGATAGATAGATGATAGATAGATAAATAAATAGATAGGTAGATAGATAGATAGATAGATAGATAGATAGATAGATAGATAGATAGAAGAGAGAGAGAGATAGGTAGGTAGGTAGATATAGATAGATAGATAGATAGATAGATAGCTGATAGATAGATAGATAGATAGATAGATAGATAGATAGAAGATAGACAGATAGATAGATAGATAAATAAATAGATAGGTAGATAGATAGATAGATAGATAGATAGAAGAGAGAGAGAGAGATAGGTAGGTAGGTAGGTAGGTAGGTAGAGATAGATAGATAGATAGATAGATAGATAGATAGATAGATAGATAGAAGATAGATAGATAGACAGATAGATAGATAGATACATACATACATACATACATGAATAGACAGATGCCTTTGAATTAACATTCCTAGGGATGAGAGGAAGGAACTGGCTGAAGGTCACCCAACTGGCTTCGTGCCTAAGACTACAGAACTCACAGTCTGCTGGTTTCTAGCCTGATGCTTTAACTACTACATCACACTGTCTCTTTTATAATATTTATAAAGAACAAACAAAATCCAAAAATCAGGCAATGAAAAAAAAATTACTCAATTTAGTTAAGCCAACTGTATTATTTTATATCAGTGTAGGTATTCCTTTTGCCATGTCCAGAATCACCTTAAATTACACCCTAATCATGGGGAATAAGACTATTTTTAAAGGATCCCTCACCTCATAAATATAGAGTTTTATTTATTTATTTTTTTAAAAAAATTGCATTTGCGAGGCTTGGAATGGTAAGTAAAATTAGACCTCTTAAGGGGCTTCATACATTATTTTTCTTAAATAGATCACCTAAACAAAAGCAGAACATATAGGCGAAAGTAGCCCAAAATTTCAACCCTGAAACATATCCTGCATTCTCTAGGTGGCATGGCTATCATCAGCCCTTCTTGTTGCTGTTAGAATATATTGCATGTAAAGAACTAGACTAGATCAAAAATTTCCTGCTGGGAAAAACTGGTACATCAAAACCAACAGTGGGAATGACATTTACTGTGATAGAACAAAGTGAATAGTGCCAAAAAACATTTGATGGAAAGTGGAAAAGTTATTGATTAGTGTAAAATGAATGTTAGCTTAGTCTTCACAACTATTCTTTTTTCTTCTGATGCCTATTGAAAATTTTAGTTTGCAAAGCACTGCCCTAGAAGTTGTATTTTTCCCTGATTTTCTCCATTCCAAGGCGTTCTTTGAACTTCTTTGGCTGGAGATTTGCACAGAACCCCAAAATACGGGTGCTCAGTGGTGAAGCAGAAGGCAAATGGGAAGGGACACATTTGTGAGTGGGAGCAAGGGGGGGGGCGGGAGAAATAGGGGAATAAATTTTAACTTTGCTCCTTTCCCCCTAGTGATTCCTATGCAGTGAAAACTGCTGGTTTTTTTTTACAGTGAATACTGAGCCAGATGGACTAGCAATTTTACTTGGCATAGGACAGCTTTCTGTGGTTTTTAGGAGTATGGAGCATCCTGATCAAAGCCAAAAAAAACTGCAATTCTGTCTATATAAATATTTGCAAGGCAGTTACCCAGGTTGAGTTTTGGGATATCATTTCATGTCCATGTACAGGCCCTAATTCAAAACGGTTGCCTCTTCTTGGCAGCAACCCGAGCCAAACTTGTAAACATTTCATCGCACGTTCCTGCTTGAATGCCACTCACCTTGAGATACTGCAAGCGAGCCTCCAATTCGGCTCTCCGGATTGATGCACCATACAAGGTATCTAACCTGCACAGGGGACAAAGTGGGATGAGTGGTGCCTCCATGGCTTGGAAACCACAGCAGTGGCACATGGAAAGGGGCGGAGGGGAGAGATGGCTAGTTCTGGCTAAAAACATCAATCTGGCTTTTACCTGAGCACGTTTCCAGATGCTTTGATGATCTCCACAATCTCACGGTGCCGGATGCCTTCTACGTTAAGCCCATTCACCCCTGTGATTGTGTCACCTACAAAGCAGAGAGGCAACAATAACGAGTCAGGGAGAACAAAGGATTTGTACTGGGCCTGCATACTTAAAGCCTGAACTTAAGATATCACTTCTGCAAGTCTGCAGAAACATTCTTTATTTTGGTCTCTCAGGCTGGGAAGGATGGTGGTGGAGATAGGGATGGATAGAGCCTGCCCCCCACTTCTTTTTGAGGGGGGGGACTGATGATCCCCACATCTTCTAACTCAAAGAAGACTTTTAATCCACAATGGCCATATCAGAGTCAACTGTGATCTCTCCACTTCACGGCTAAAAGAGGTGAAGTAATTCTTCCCCTTTTGCAACATTTTGCTTAAAGAAATGAACAAAAAAGCTTGCACACATTTGTATTGCATTAATTTCGTCTTCATAAAATTATTGCACAAATATGGGTTTGGGTGTTTTTTTTTTTACTCCATAGACCAACACGGCAATGACTATTTTGTTTTGGGTGCTGTCTAAATTATGCAAAACAGCATCATTGCACTTCAATTTGGTTTTATTCTGAGCACTCTAATTATGTGTCAAGAGTTCAGACAAGACCAGGACCATTGGAGAAGTGTGGGGAAATACTTAGTCAAGAAATACTCATGACTTTTTATATTTCTTCTTCTCTGTTTTATTAAACAAAATGACAAAAACTAAAAGAAAAAACAACACTGGGGTTGGGGGAAAAGAACAGAAACACGGGGAATCCAAGTGTCTGCATTTATGTACGTACACAAGCGCTCATATATTGTATATGTATGTGTGTATGCACATAATCTTAAAGAATGTCTGTACATATATACATGTAGTATTAGGGAGAAATAGAAGCATTGTAAACCTCCCAATGCAATATTCCCATTTAGAAACACCAACACCACCCGATTCAGATGATAGTAATCTATTACTATGTAGAAAATGTTAACAGAGTATTGTTTAAAATTTTGTCTGAGATTGTTCTGCAACTTTTAAGCACAACTTATAGCACTAGCAATAGTACTTAGACATATATACAGCTTTACAGTGCTTTACAGTCCTCTCTAAGCGGTTTACAGGGTCAGCATATTGCCCCCAGCAAAATGGCTCCTCATTTTACCCACTTCGGAAGGATGGAAGGCTGAGTCAACCTTGAGCCTGGTGAGATTTGAATTGCCAAATTGCAGGCAGCCGGCAGTCAGCAGAAGTACCCTGCAGTACTGCACTCTAACCACTGCGCCACAACGCCTTGTTTATGAGGAGCCACAGCAACTTATGATTTTGAAGACTGGAGTTGCTTACATAAGAGAAAAAAAGAAACTGGTAGCCAGGAAATTTTCTGCCATTGGAACAGATGATCCAGGCTTGGAGAGGTGTACTTTAAAAAAAAGAAAACACCCTCTGTGCTAAAAGAAGGAAAAGCAGACTTTAATGGGAAGAAAGGAGGGTACCACACTGCACAACCAAACATCTGGATGCCTCCCTCACCTCCGTTTGAGCCTGCTGTCAATCTGATTCTTTAAAAGCAGCGTTTTTCAACCTTGTCCACTTTAAAATGTGTGGATTTCAACTGGCTGAAGAATTCTAGGAGTCGAAAGCCACGCATCTTAAAGGTGACAAGTTTGAAAAAAACAGATGCTTTAAATGAAGGTAACAATGCTTGGTTCTCCAGAGCAGAGCAGAGCAGCTGGGAGGAGAGAAGAAGGCGGCACCGTCATGCAAACTGTACCCCAGCCTTCTTCATGGTTACCTGTGATGTGAAGCCAGAGCTGGTTGAGGCCTTCTTACAAGGAGCCAATGCAACACAGGCAAAAAGGAGAGGGAGCCTGCATTCCTGGCCTGTCTCAGAAAGACCCTACTCTTTGGCTATTGTACAGTACAATATTTCTTCAACGAGTCCTGTTGGCCAGGAGACAATGGGCCCACTGCCCATTTTAAAAGGAAAACATAGAGTGTTTTGATTGTTCAGAAAAATGCCTAACATTCCAGTGAGCAGGAATGCCTTGTGAACAAATATATTTTAAATCTGGAAATCCCAGCTGGACAAACTGATGATGTTAGGAAAAAGAATCAGGTTTTCCTGCTGTTGTCTGTCTGGCTTTTCCTGGAGAGGGTTTCTTGTTCGTGGTCCCCCCCTCCTGTTTTAGACATATAAAACTGGTCTAGTACCAATTTTTTTTCCTTTTATTTTCCTTGGGGAAACTGGAAGGCAATTGTCACTCCCCATGTTGGTGATCTGGAGTCAAATCTGGACAGGATAGTCCTGCAAGAACTATGAAATCTGCAAGGATTCCATGTGACCCCATCAACTGTGGTCTCTCCTTTGATTCTAAATAACGAGAGGTGAGGGAAACATCACATGACTGTGAGTTAGGATCTCAAATGATGATCATGTGAACATGAGATGCTGCATCTATCGTATATGCTTTTTGGTTGCAAAGAGCTTGAATATCGATCATGTGACTGTGGGGACGCTGCAACGGTCGTAACTGTGAAGACTGGTTGTAAAGCTACTCTTTCAGCACCTTTGTCACTTTGAACAACTGCTAAATAGGGCCGTCATTAAGCGAGTTCTATCTGTACGCTTCCCAATTTCTAGCCTTCACCTTGGGATCTCAGCACCTCTCCTTGGAGCCTCACACAGAAGCTCACACCCCAAGGCTTGGTAAAACTAGCAGACTGAGTTGGAGGGTGTCCAGCAGTAAATGACATTGTGGAGTTCAGATTGTGGCCTTGCAGGCTCTGTTCTGTGAAGTGACAAGAGTAGTCAGTGATGTCATGGAGTCCTCCAATGCCTTTCCACAGCAAGAGGCCTACTCAGCCTTCCCTACAGTTGTAAAAAAGGTTGGGAGGAAGCGTGGAGACAATGTGAGACTAGGCTAAAGCCACCATTCTTAAAAGTGGTGAAGGCATGTAAGCAGCGTGGACCAAAGCCAGGAAAAGTTCCCTCAGAAAAAGGAACCAAGTCTTTAAGGGAACAAAAGGACAAAAGCAGGGCCTTGAACACATGGCAAGCCCCTCCTCAAGTCTCACCCACAAAGGAATTGGGCCTGCATGGGAAGCCTCTTCCCACCAACTCTAGGGGATAAAAAGAGGTCCTGAAGCCAGCCCAGCCTTTGAGTTGTTTTTGGATCCCAGACTTGGCAGCTTCTGTCCCTCTGGCTAGTGCCTGGCAGCCTAGTAACGGATGCTGGGTAAATGTGGACGTGTGTGTGTGTGTGTGTGTGTGTGTGTGTAAGAGCAAAAATATATCAGTAAAAGTTTGCTGTTATTTTAAATTCACTCGGTCTCTGTGTATTTTAAAGAACCGTTTGTGCCGCAGTGTTCGGTTCATTTGGGATTGAGTGTGGCAATTTTCCAGGGCTGTGAGTGTGTGAGTGAGTGACCATAAGCTGAACCTGAGAGTACACTTGGCTAACAACAATAAAACAGAAGAACTACACAAGTGTGCACTGACATTCACAGTTCAAGAAGACAGAGTGAAAAACCTCACTGGCCACTAAAGACCAGGAAGGTCTGAAATCTGAATCATACCTGCTGATTTTACCAGTCAGCTGTTGAGCTCCAGTGAAGCAGTACAAAGCAGTAAATGAAGTTTCTTACCAGGTTTAAGGCCTGCTGCTTGGGCTGGGCTGTTTTCGTGAACCCGGCAAACAAAAGTGAACATCTCCACACGTTTTGTGTCCTGATGGTGTAGCCCATAGGTCTGAAAATTGCCCGGATGGAAAAAAGAATTTTTATTTATTATGGCACGAGAAGGGTGGATTAGGGGTTGCTATAATCTATAATGAATGAGGTAAAGCAGCATGAAGAGCTAGACAGCCATAGCAAGCTGTGAGATGAAATGAATTCTACCTCATTTGGATCATTTCTCATTCTCTGAAATGTCGAAGATCAAACTCAGCCGAAAAGTGAGACAGGCCAGATTCAAGATGTTGTCATATTTTCCTCAGATTTGATATTCCATGCTTTGAAAATCAAAGTCCTCAATTTTCAACTTTTCTAATGTCTGAAATTTGTATTTCAATTTATTTTCACATTTGCAAATAGCCTGAGGCATGTGATATAAAATCCTATCCTCAATTCCTGCTGAGTGCAGCCCGCAAAACTTCCACTTAGCAGTTTGTGAGGTAAGCTTAGGAAGGCTTTCTCCCAACATTTACCTGAATCTCAAAACCATACGTCTGACTCTCTTCTTTCTCCAGTGTGATCACCTTCCTGAAACAATGCGAGAGGAAAGAAATTCAGCTGAAATTCCTCAGGACCTTGCATGAGGCAGATTCAAGCCACATTCACAAAGTTGCGTAAGGATCTCTCTTCACTTTCTGATTCCTCCATCTTCCCACAGTTGAAACACTGCCCAACAATATGATTTAATTTACAGGAACTTCCCTTAGTCATAGTTCAGCAACTTCTGTCTCATGTGTGTTCAAAGGGAAGTGAAAAGCAGCATTCTGCCTCTTAGCTAGGCAGCTGGAGCAAACATTTACCCTGCCCAAGAATCATCTCTGCAGCTCACAGTCCCTCTTTCCCTTATGGCTCCTTCCATCACCACTTTAAGCCAATGAAACAAACAGGAAGGGAGCAGCCTTTTGTGTATCATCCAGTCTTTATGAATCCAGACCAGAGCTAACAAAATAACAAAAGGAGATCCAAATGCAAAACCATAGCCAAAGCAAACACAAATGTAATCAGGGATGAGGTTGCTGAAGCAAACATAGATTCAGTAGCAAACAACCACTACATCATTCCAGAGTATGCTTTTATATATGTATCTCCTTCTTGCAGACTCATTGACTGCAAAAAGGAGATACATAAGATAAATACCGAAGAATGGCAGACAATCTAACCTACTGGAATCATCTTTTAGGATAAATTACATAGATGGCTACTCCTCTGACAGCAGAGCCGCAATCTTTCACAATCAAACATACATTTTAAAATCCCAGTCAAATTGTCCTGGAATTTTTTTTGAGTAACTTGAGTGAAATGAACCAACCTTTACAAATATTCTGAAAATTCTCATGAGAAATTTTTGCTTTGCCTTCCTATCTAAATAAATCCAGATTATAAATGTTCCTTTTTTTTTTTTTATCGAAGTCCATATATTACCACCAGATGTTGCAAGTTGAGTATATGTTCTGTCCTTTTAGGTGGAACTGATCATTCCATGAACATTGTCCATTTTATGATATGAATCTAGCTAGTATTATAACGATAGTAACTGGACAAAATTTCTTCTTGCCTATTTAATGAAAACTTGGAAACTGCAAGGAGGAGTCAAAGATTCCTCCTTTCATTTCATGAAAAAATGGCACCTCTTCATAAAACAGTAGAACATCTGGCCACAAATAATGTATGGGTGTGCATGTGCACACCCATACTTGATCCACCCCGTGTGCCTTTGTTCTGCTTATTATTTCTGGAAAAGAAGTATGGTTGAAGTGTTCTTATAAGTGACTCCCAAAAGTTTATTTAATTTCTACAAGTTGTCAATTGGAATTTAAGAAATGTCCCCAAGATAATTCAGAAACATATTTTAGGAGAAGCTCTTATAGAGAAGCATTTCCTAATAGCCTGGATTACTCTTGGCTTTTGTTCTCCTTGTACTTTCACATACGACAGTAGCTTTAACAAGGGGGAGGGTCATTATTCCTTCAGCATTGCACACTTAAAGATGTACTGGCCACAAATCCTATCACCCAGCATGCTGCCAAGGTAGTCGGTTAGAAGAACCTGGAGGATGCTACATTGGCAAAAACATGAGATGGGGATGTAGTAAAATAGCAATAGCAATATATATATATATATATACTGCTCCACAGTGCTCTGCAGTCCTCTCTAAGCAGTTTACAGAGTCAGCATATTGCCCCCAACAATCTGGGTCCTCATTTTACCCACCTCAGAAGGATGGAAGGCCGAGTCAACCTTGAGCCTGGTGAGACTCGAACTGCTGAACTGCTGGCAGACGGCAGTCAGCAGAAGTAGCCTTCAGTACTGCATTCTAACCACTGCGCCATCATGGCTCATATTAACATAATGGGATTCAGTCATCCTATATTTAATTACCATGTTTCAAAACTGGAAATTCTTTTTGTCCCCATTTAGCAATGAAACCACAAGCCTATAGAAAGGTATTTCTTTATAACTTTCATGTGCCCCCGTTAAAACCCAACTTTCCTGTTCTCTAAGAAAGCTTCAGGAGAATTTCACCTCAAATCATTTGGAGAACTGCAACCATGGGCTTGGTAGCTGAGGTAAAAACAGAGGTCCTTTCTCCAATGCACAATTTCATGACTCTCTGTCTTTTTTTCTGCACAACAAAGCTTCTTCCTAAAAAGTTGAAGTGGCAATGTGCTCTTGCAACTTTCACCAATGCAGCTCTAAGGGCATATTCCTAAATCTTGAAGGTGATTCGGTATCAAATGTAATTGATGGATATTTTGTCTAAACCCTCTTATTGTGAGGCAACACAATAGGATGCCGTCGGTCAAACAGTGTCGACTGGCGGCCCCCAGGGGGAGAGCCTTCTCTGTGGGGGCACTTGCCATTTGGAACGAGCTTCCCCCGGAGATACGGAGGATCCCGGATTTGCGCACTTTCCGCCGTGCCCTCAAGACCTTCTTATTTCAACAGGCTTGCCTGGCCTAACCTCCTTTTAACTGTTAATTTTAAATTTGTTTTAAAATAATAGGGGTGTTTTAATTTGTTTGGGCCAAATTTTTAATGTGTTTTTATATTGTTTTTAAAGTTTGTATTATGTGTATTTTATCTTTTGGCTGTTCACCACTCTGAGTCCTTCGGGAGTAGGGCAGTATATAAATCCATTTATAAAATAAAAAATAAAATAAATAAATAAACACTCAACTATGCCACATCCCAGCCATCTTGTATCGGATCACATGAAGGTATGATCAACTCCTATTAGGGATGGCAATCTGATGCCCATCAGATATGCTAAGACAACAATTCCCATAAGCCCTGCTCAACATAGAGGTAACCATGGGAATTGGTCCTCCAACCTATATACTCCTATTACCATGTGATCCCACAAAGAGGATTTTGGTTTGAGGAATTGCAGAAAGGTATATGCTTTTTGGCTTTTGAATCAGAGCACTGTATTGTGCATCCCATTTCTGTTGGACACCAGGCTGAAGAAAGTTGCACCAGAGAGATAAAGGAGGAATTGCAATCACCACCAGTTGAAAAGTTTACCTATTAAAGAGACAAACTGAAGAGTGAATCCCCTTGCCTATTCCATGGGAGGTTAACCATCGTTCTGAAGCTTTAGCTGGTGATGCAGGACTGGAGATGCAGGAGATGCAGGACTGGAATTAACACAGCCAGAGCATGGGTGTCAAACTCGTGACGACATGTTGTTGTCACGTGACGTATGGCAACTTTTCCTCCCTTTGCTAAAACGGGGGTGGACGTGGCCAGCGTGTGACGCATCTGGCCCGCAGGCCGCGGGTTTTACCCCCTGGCCTAAAGACTCTATTCCAGAAGGCAAAATACCTTGATGGTGCTTGTAAATTACCCCCATGTGCATAATTTCTGTTAAATCCCCCCCCTCCCCCCGGGCCACTATAGGACCATCTCACTCATTCCCAGCCACAGGGAAAGACAAGAACTGCTTGGAGGCAGCTGTGCACAGTGTCCAAAGCGAGCACAAGCAAGAAACAGACAGCTTTTGGTTAGACTACACCGAAGACAAGGCTTTCTCTGTAGGCGGACATAGGGGAAAGCAAGTCTGTCTTCAGCAGAGCAGGACAAAATTCACCACTGAAACTCTACCAGCAGAAAGGAACAACTTAGCACCTACCTGTGCTGCTCAGGCGACTGGCTCAGAGAGTGCCACTTGAATGCAGAGCCCTGAGGAAGAGGTGCAAAAAAGAGAATTAGTGAAGAGTATGGCAGGATGCTGGCCTCAAACATCACCCCGACATAGTGCTGGTGGCACTGAGCCAAGGACTGGCACAACGGAGCCACAGCACAACTCCAGAGTCAGGCTGCATACGAAGCACATTTTCCTGCGACCTAACGACTCTTCTTTCAGTCCTTAAAGCGGCATCAAGATCTGAGAGAACCTTTGCCTACCTTGTTTACTGAGCTGTTGTAAGAATTACTTGGGTCATTTTCATTACGTGCTTTCAACGATGCTAAAAGCTCAGCTTTGTCAGCTTGCTCTGGATGCCTGTCACTGCCAACCTGGCAATGTAAACAAGTTGCCGAAATGAAACAAGGTCTCTGCCTTAGCCAGCTAACCCCAAAGCAGAGGTTGTTTTGGGAAGCTCGTTGCTAGACAAGAGGCCATTCAGGCACTTGGTTAACAACACACAAGGGAGGGGAATTCGGATGGGGAGCCTGCTGGAGGCAAACTGAGGAGGCATTCCCTGTTCTTCATCCTGTACCCTCCCTCCCCTATAATCCTGATCTGGATTATGCTTCCTGCATCTCTGGATGATGTTAGAAACAACAGTTCCTTTGCTCCAGGGGATGTCTGTCCTCTTATGCCACTATCAGCCCAGTTTGGATTGCTACCCGTCAACCAGCTATTCACTTTTACGAAGCCACTTGCACAATGCATGAATGGGAACTCCTCTAGGTTGAAAGCACATTAGGTCCTCATTCATGGACATTCAGAATGAGGTTTCTGTTTCATTGCTTGAAGCAAAAAAAACAAAACAAAAACAAAAAAAACCTGCCAAGGAAGCCAGCCGTGATTTGCATCATCTGACTAAAAAAATTGATAAAAACAAATGGCACACCACGATCTAGGGTGCTGAATCTCCTAGGGGCATCCTGGTGCTTTATATCCAATTTTCACATAAGCCTGAAGATTTCTTGGAATTGCATCTCAAGCTTGGTTAAGTTTCCCCAACCCAAAACCACAAATGCCAACTAAGAGGGTCCTACACCCACCACCGGGGTTGATGAAAAGCATTCAGAAAGCCACATCTGAACACTGTAAGCTTTCAGAGCTATGTGGCTTGGTGCCACGGAAAAAAAGAAAAACCTTTGGAAGAGAAAGCCCATTTTATTCCGAAGCCCTAATTTCAAAATAAAATTAATTGCCAGGCCCATTCTGAACAAACACTTTCATTGTTGATGCTTCCACACAGTACATGATGGGAACTGAAATTTGGGAGGACCAGTTAGGAAAAAATTATTAATATAAATGGATTCAACCACCCTTGGAGGTGGGTGGTGCCCCACATTCATGCCGTGTCGCATCCCCTGAAGAATTTCAGCCATCTTGGCATAATGGCAAACAACATGGCAATTGATAATGCTCTGGCTTTCATTAAACTTTCCGAGTTGTACAAGTGTGCAAACGTGCATGTCTTTGGTTTATGGCTGAACTCAACGTCTCCTGCAAGGCGCAGCCAAGAAACGAAGCATCAGTTTTCTATTAGGCAGCTACACATGCAATTGGAATTATGCTTGAAAATAAACAGCTGTTCATGTAAGACTTCATCCTGCCCGCCTCTGACAAGCAAGCACTCCACCCTCTTCCCCCAGCCTAGAATGACCTCTGTTTTAACCTGCAGGCACCAAGTCTCCTTTTATATGCATGGCTGCAACCATTTGCAAGCATTTTCAAAAACTCAGGTTCGAGATTGCAATGACTTTTTAGACGAGCGTGGGGGGAAGAGAGTGGCAGAAGCAAGGGTGGAGACAAGGGTTTCCAGCGCCATGTTGGAATGAAATGGCCCTACTTGTCAAGCTGGACAATGGCATTTCAGTGACCTCAACAAACTCCCAGCAGTGAAGTGGGATATTTGGGTGGCCTGCTGAGAATGGAGTAAATAGATTTGAATCCTACTGTAATGGCAGTTGATTCCCAAGGCACATGGGAAATGTCTTCATCAACCCTGCCTCTTTCTTCCAGAGAAGTCTGGATGGAACCCTGGAGGCTGTAGCAAGCTAGTCAAAATTCAAATTCTACGTAATAAAAACAGCAGGTACTGAAAGCTGAACCTGAGTCCTAAGCCTTATTCAGATATCCTGCTTTGGAGCTGAGAAAGAGCAAAGACAGGGCTATACTGATCTCAGGAACAAAGACGATATCAAAATAACAATGATACAAAAAATAATATTGTGAAAAGACCATCAAAGCAGTGGTGGGCTCCTACCGGTTAGCTCCGGTTCTTGCGAACCAGTAGTAACGGTGGTGGGAGGCTCCGCCCACCCGCCCGGGTGTCATCATGGACTATCTGCGCATGCGTAGAAGCTTCTGTGTATGCGCAGAAGCGTGCCTGTTCCCGTTGCAAACCGGTAGCGAAGGTAAGTGGAACCCACCCCTGTAACAAAGTGATACAGTCATTGGTTTCCTACTGGTAGGAGACGAACACATTCCTCCTTCCATGCATTCATTCTGCATTTGTCAAATGCTTGAATAATCAGAGCTATTGTGTCCATTAAGAACCTCTCCCAAATATTCAAATTAGCTATCAGGAGGAATGTTTTCGGCATTAAGCTTGTAGTTACATATAACATGCCTCTGTACATATGACAAGGGTTGCAGGATTTGGGTTTGGCTAGTCTAGAGAAAAGGACAACTCGGGGGGTCATGGTAGCAGTATTCCAGTATTTGAGAGGCTGTCACAAAGGGGAGGGGGTCAATTCAGTGGTGAAATCTAAAATTTGTTACTACCGGTTCTGTGGGCGTGGCTTGGTGGTGGTGGGGGTAATGTGGGCATGGCCATTTTTTAAAAAAACTTTTAAAACCATTTTTTCCACAACCTCTTTGGCGAAGAGGTTGTAAAAAAATGCTTTCAAAAGGCTCTGACGATCCCAGCTGAGTTGCCTTTTCTTTTAAAAGCCTCTGCCGATCAGGCAACTCAGCTGGGATCATCAGAGCCTTTTGAAAGCATTTTTTTACAACCTCTTCAGCTGAAGAGGTTGTAGAAAAAATGCTTTTAAAAGTAAAAAAAAAAAAGGTTGGCCACGCCCACCCAGTCAAATTACCCCACTACCATCACCAAGCCACACCCACAGAACTGGTAGTAACAAATTTTACATTTTACATCGGCCGAAGAGGTTGTAGAAAAAATGTTTTTAAAAGCCTTTGATGATCCCAGCTGAGCCGCACAATCATCAGAAGCTTTTTTTTTACTTTTAAAAGCATTTTTTTAGCCGAAGAGGTTGTAGAAAACATGCTTTTAAATTTTTTTTAAAAAGCCTCTGATGATCATGTGGCTCAGCTGGGCATGGGGAGGGGGCAGGGATTTTTGCTACCAGTTCTCCGAACCACCCGCCTCCATCGCTACCAGATCGAGCAATCCGGTCTGAACCGGGAGCATTTCACCCCGGGTCAATTTATTTTCCAAAGCTCCAAAGGGCAGGACAAGAAACAATGGATGGAAACTAATCAAGGAGAGAAGCAACCTGGAATTGCGGAGAAGCTTCCTAACAGTGAGGACAATTAACTAGTGGAACAGCTTGCCTTCAGACATTATGGGTGCTTCATCACTGGAGGTTTTTAAGAAGAGACTGGATAGTCAGTTGTCTGAAATAGTATAGGACAGGGGTGTCAAACTCATGGCGTTATGTTGTCGTCACGTGACATATTGCAACTCCCCCCCTTCCAGCGCATGACGCATCTGGCCCGCAGGCCACAAGTTTCACACTCCTGGTATAGGATCTCTTGCTTGAGCAGAGGGCTGGACTAGAAGGCCTCCAAGGTCCCTTCCAGCTCTATTCTGATTCTGATTTAATACTAGAACACCCTCTTCTATTGTTTACAACGAAAATTTCAACTTGAAAGTTACCAAAGAGTGCAAAGTAGAGAGGCATAAAGGATTTGGATTCCTTGCAAATGAGAAAGAACACAATTTCCCTTGATATGCTCCAAAATATCCTCATGCATTTTCCAACACTTACAGTAAACCATGTTTAGTAAGCATCAAAGCATCACCAAACAGCAGGTGGCAGCACCTGATCAACCTGGGCTGATCTTGAAAATGAAACCAGGGGCAGACCTCTTAGTTAATGCTTGAAAGGGAGACCACCAGGAAATACCAGCACTGGATTAGAGAGATCAATCAAAAAGCCACCCAAAGTGGTTGTGGAAAAGCACTTCCATGTTGTTGCCAAGAAAATAGACATGGATAGTTATCAGGAGCTGAGCTTGACTCCAGAGAGAATCTTATATTGTATCATATTATAACTGATAGAAACATAGTCCATTTGAGTTTTTGATGTTCATTGACTACAAGCTGAGCATACAACCTTCCCTATAGTTCCGAATCCTTCCTGGTCAAGTTCTCTTTTGCCAAGAAGTAAGAGTAATATCGATTCAAGAGACACATACCCCTGTTGATTTCATGGCTGGAAGGATATAGGAGTAGCCCACCTGGTGATGACTTCTGAATCTTTTCCTCAATCCCAGTGCAGTTGGATTGATTGATTGATTGATTGATCATATTTATATGCTGCCCATTGCACTATTGAGTGACTCTGAGCAGCTTACAGTCATAATGCTCACTTGTAGTTCAGTAGAGATTATCATTTGCCAGTCTTGGTGGGTCAAGGATGTGGGTCTAACACAATGATGGCGAACCTACGGCACATGTCAAAGGTATCACACCATCGTTTCCGGTGACACAGTGGCATTCACAAACACACCCAACTATTTGTGAAATAGTTTTTGCGCAGTCTTCAGACGCTGGGTGAGAATGGTGTGTGTTCTTGCACAGCCTCCATCCAAACCTCCGGAAGTCGCGTGAGAATAGGGCGTGCTTTTGCACAGTTTTGGGAGGCTGAAGAGGCCATGGAAAAAGCATTCTGTGAAGCTGATTCAAGAACAAAGGCTTCATGTGATCTGGAGCAAGCTCGGGTAGGCCGCAGGGGCCTGTCAACGGAAAGAG